AGGAATATGTCAGCTTAGCTAAGTCTGTTCTCAGGCCACAGGGGGGAGATAAGTCACAGGAGACGAGAGTGCATCTCTGAGCTTCAGGCAACTCCGGGAAAGCCTCGGACTCGGCCTCACCATGTGCGGCTGGCACGGCTCGCTGGTTTCACTGTTATGCCCCGAGGGCCAAAAAGAAACACAGTTAAGTTCCTACCATTTGATTCAGAACCACCAAATAATCTTTTTTTTTTTTTTTTTGAGAGTTGTTTTGTTTCTTCGTTTCGCTATAGGGTCCGTGCACTTGCCAGAGAGATGGAGAGACGGAAAGCGAGAAATAACCCCCCAGGGGGATGGGCACGCCCAAATCCCTCCTTCTCCATCCTCCTCTCAGGATTTTGGGCACGCATGCACATGCACTTGGTATGTTTCAAGCCACAGGATCCAAGACTCAAACCATAGTCACCGCTACACCCTCTGCAGGTCCCCTCACCAGAGTATTTTAACCGGTTGTTGGGATTCCTCCCCATGCTTCATAATAGGGAGGAGGGGAGGCTCCTCGAGGCGCCTATACGGCAGGCCTCACACGAAGTGCTCGGATGTCACACGAATTCTGGCTTCTCTACTCCCTAGCTACTTGAACCCTGGCAAGTTTCTCAGAGTTTCCTAAGTCCTAAGTCAAATGGAGACCGTCTTTATCTGACAGATGTACTGTGAGTATTAAGTAGGAACACGTGTCTGTCACTGAGATATGCTGAGACTGGCTCACGGGAAAGAAGCCTGGGCGTGGTGTCGCAACAAGGGCTTACCCGAAAGACCTACACCCAACACCTCCTCCCTCAGGACCCTGCCCTGTGCTTTTTACCCACAGGCTTGCACCTTCTAGGGCTGCTGCTTCAGCGTAGAGAATTACACATACCCCTATTAACTGGCAAACATCAAGCCAGTACTCGTCTTTTATGCCTTTGAAGGAATCGGTTTATAGTAGATTGCTTCACTAGCTGAGGTTTATATCATGGGTATATGTGAATGAAGGCTGGGGGCTGGCGGAAGTTGGGGCCTTGCCCACAGAAGGCAGGTCTCGGGCATCTGCAGTGCAGGTCTTTGAGCTCCTGAGCTCCTGAGCTCCTGTGCCAGGCTTCACCCACATCATAGGTCCACAGCGGTCGCACCCTCACGCAGTTTTGTCGAATCAGTGCTGATCTGGCCATAGGCCCCTGGCTACAGAACACGTCAGTGAGAGCTCGCACGAGCGTGTGAAGCCCAGGCTCACAGACACGGGGAACGGGAGGGGCTCACAGACCGTGCAGAGATGATAAGAGCCGTTGGGCGCTGCCACGTCAGCGAATCCATCCCATGTCTTCTCAGCAAGTCTCCAAACCTGCCCAAGGCCTCGCAGGCACGACAGACGCAGCTACCTCGTTCCCATTTTCCTGTTTTTCCATGGAAACGGATCATGCCATATCCTGCTGTCACTCCGAACACCCATTTTTAACATTACCATTTGCTATGGAAACATTCCCTTAGCTCGTTCACCTCGGTGTCATAGCATTCCACTGACAGCGGAGGAAGAGCTCGCTCATGCGGTTTTCAGAAGAGCGTGTGTGTTCTGGGTACCCAACCGCTCTCTGAATGTGTGTGTGTTCATAACTCAGCCCCAAAACAAGCAACTATCCAAATATTGACCGTTACAGAATCTTTCCCATTAAAACAAAACCTACATGTTCTTTTTAATGTACCATCTATCCGATGAATAAGATCATGTTTGCTTTTCCTAGCAGATGCGTAAATAAGGTGCTCATCTGTTCTACTGGGGACAAATTGTCAGCATGTTGCTGGGGACTGCCGGAGACTCCGGGATCTGCAGATCGAACTGGGGCGGGGGGAGGTAGGCTGTCTGCCAAGGAGGAGGGCAGGGGCTCTACCACACCTGCCCCGGGGAGAGGTGTGGTAGAGCCCCTGAGTCACCTTGGGCCAGTCACTGTGTCACCCTGTGTGACATCCCTGTGTCACCTTGGGCCAGTCACTCTCTCCTCCTCCAGATAGTGAGGTCGGAGAGCCTGATCTAAGATCCTGGGCAGATCTGACCTCCCGGATCTGAATTGCAGTCACGTAGCGCTCTGCTGGGGAGGCGAGGCGAGCTCCGGGAAGTCTCCTGAAAGGAAAACCGCGCAGGGCATTGGGTAGCCAGGAGCACAGCAGTGCGCTCATTGGCAGAGATGATCGCTCTTATTCAGTGCCTTACATTTATACTCCCACATTTGTTCTCCTCGCTTCTAAATTAGTCAGTGTAAAGACTTTTAAAAGATTAGCTGCTTGAAAGCCACATTTGCAAAGGGACTGATGTGGGCCAGCACGCCAACCACGCATGCTTGTTTTTATCTTTCTGCTCAAAAGAAAAGTAGTGGTTGAGACTCCCCTTCCTGACCGTAATTAACGTTCTCCTTTCTATTATCCAAAATATTATCCCATTCCCACACGAAATGGGCACCGTTCCAGAATCATCCTTCACAGGCTTCCACACTCCAGGAAGCTGGCGCCGCCTCTGGACAAGCCGGTAACAAGCACCGCGAGAGAGAAGAAGGCCGAGCGCGAGGTGCAGGGTTTTATGGATGATCACGTTGCTAACGCTAAAACCGACAAAACGATGGTTTTTAGAGAGTGTAACCAGGAGAATGTATTTTATTATTATTATTATTTTGATTTGCCAGAGGGTGTGTGCACTCACCAGAGAGAGACAGAGACGGGCTGAGGGGAGGAATGAGAAAGCATCCTTCCTCATCCCCGTTGGGATGGCCATGCTGCAATCCCTTCTCCATTTCTCCCTCCTTTTGGGATTTTGGGCGCTCATGCACACGCACCAGGCATGTTTTACGAGCCACCAGTTTTGGGATTTGAACTGTGGTGTTGGCCATGTGGGGCCTTGTCATCTTATCCATCATGCCTCCAGCTGACTTACACTTTCTATTAAAAAAAAAATATGGGGCGAGGAATAATAATAAATCCTGTAAAACTTGGGCAGGATAAAGCTGAAAACGTTTTTTATTTTTCAGAAGACACTATGATGGACATTCTGAAAGACCTATAAATCGCCGGGAGGTATTCAAGTGGCTGGCTGAGACTCCCGAACCTCAGCCTGTTAGTCGTGTCTAGCATTTGTCAGGAAGAAAGAAAGAAAAAAGCCTCCTAGAAGAGTCTCAGCTAAGAGTCTGAATCACTTCACAGCAATTTGGATGACAACCTCCATTTAAAATATTCAGCTTTCACAGCCAGGATTCCGCCATAGTGTGTCTAATGGGCCTCGGATACAGACAGAGCCAGGAGGTCGGGATGGAAAAATGGAGTTTATAGCAACAAGGCTAGGGAAATCTAAAATAAATTCTGTATTAGTGTCCTATTGCTGTGGTAACAATTTACCACACACACTGGCTCAAAATAACGCTCATTAATTATCTTACAGTTCTGAAGATCAGAAACTTGACAAGGGTTTCATTAGGCTAAAATTAAAGTGGTGTAGGCCAGCAGGTAGAATGGAGTTTAAGGCATTGGATCCTGCATGGCCAATCGCACGGTTTGAGTCCTGAACCCAGCAGCTTGAGAAACATGCTAGGTGTGTGTGCATGCTTGCCCAGAATCCTAAGAGGAGAATGGAGAAAGAATTGCTGTTTGGCCATCCCCCACAGGGGTGATTTCTCACTTTCTTTAGCGAACACATATACTCTATAGCAAAAACTTTAAAAAAATTTATATATATATATATACACATATATATATATTTATGTTATATATTAATGATATTTTTATGTAATATATATACTATTACATATACTATATAATAATATATAATATGTGTGTATATATATGAGCAAGGTGTTGTTGGCAGAGATTGCATTCTTGCTAGAGGCTTCAAGGGAGAATCCATCTCCTGGCCTTCTCAAGCTTCAGGAGGTTGCCCATGTTCCTTGGCTAATAGCCCCTTCCTCCCCCTTCAGACTCAGCAGTACTGAGCTCGATCCTTACACCGCTTTCCTGGTCCTCTCTGCCCCCATCTTCCACTTGGGAGCACCCTCGTGATTCCATTGGGTCCACCAGATCATCCCCATTTGAGGTCAGCTGATTAGTGAACCTATTTCCATACCTGGTAGCTTTAATCTCTGAAGAAAGAAGCAAAAACATCCATCCAGAAGGAACACGTGGGGACCAGGGACATAGTGCATGAGAGCACATAGGGCAAGCTGCTGTGGGGAATGGCAAAAGGAGTGCTGGGGACAAATGAGAGTGCCCCAGGGGTGCATTCAGGCCTCAGCACCGTAGACACCTCGGAATCCGAGACTCAGAGTCTGAAGCTCGCCTTACCCATAGACCCAGGAATTCCTCTGCAGGTCCCTCCTAAGTAAATACAGGCAAAATGAGTGCAGGAAAACTACAGAAACACATGCTTTGTCAAATAATTTTGCATAATACCCTCAAATCAAAGACAAGGCAATAAAAATGGCAATAAATACATTATGATATAGCCACATAATGGATACTAGTCAGTTGCAAACATTTATATTCATGAAGACTTCCTCTTCACAAGGGAAGACCTTGTGTTAAAATGTACAGTAGTGGAAAACAATTGGGATACAAAACGATGTAGAAGACATTTGAATTTGCCAGCCAGCTTGAAAGCCTTTCTTTATAAAAGGAGAACTGGAAAGAAAACAATGAAATGGCAACACTAATTATCTCTGGATTTGGAATTATTGGTGATCTTTTCTTTCTTCATTTACACACCCTCCTGTTTGTTTTTCAGAGAATGTCTAAAGGTATTAAGGCCAAGTGAGGCTGGAGACTAGGTTTGTTTGTGGTTTCCATCTGCCTGGCTCTGTCAGTTTCCCTAGCAGCATGGAAAGGCCTGGCTGCAGGACAGAGGTGCCTGGCACTGAAAAGGCAAGCACTGGGAGGAGGTATCTGCGTGTGCTTGTGCGCTTGCTCTATTTATGTACACACACACACACAATGTAAACACACAAATATGCATATGTTTCCAATAATGGTATCAGATCTAGAATACAAAAAGAGCTCATTCATATGTATGTGTATATCTATATAAATATATACGTCTCCTCAAAAAAGGAGCAAAAGACTTAAATAGGCACTTTAGAAAAGAGTGGCCAATGAAAGGATGCTCATCATTAGTTATCAAGGAAATGAAAAATTAAAGCCACAATAAGATTCCACTACAACACCCACGGGAATGACTAAAATTAAGGAAGACTGACAATGCCATGCAAGGATGCAGAGCAACTGAAGCTTCTACATGAATGGAGGTAAAATCAATTTGTTCAGCCGCTCTAGAAAAATGTTCGGCAGTACTTACCTGATACTAGGCATGCGTATATATGCTCTTAGACTCAGAAATCTACTCTTGTGGGATACCCAGCAAAACAGAATGCTTATATGCTTGTTAATATACATATATATATAAGAATGTTTAGAGCTGGCTCCTTAGTCTAGTGGTTAAGGGAGCTGGATCCCACATGGCTGACTGTGGTTTGAATCCTGGCCCTGGCAGCTTGAAAAACATGCCAGGCATGTGTGCATGTATGCCCCAAACCCCAACAGGATGGAGAAATGCAGAAGGATTGATGTGTGTCTGTGCTCCATTGGGGGATGCTTTCTCTCTTTTTCTTTCTCTCTCTCCCAGGCTATCTCTCTCTGGTGAGCAAACGCACCCTCTCCAAAAAGATAGCTCGTAGCAAATTTATCATAATAGCCTAAACCTGAAAACAATGCATGCCCAAGAAAAATAGAATGGGTAACTTGTGGTCTATCCATATAAGGGAACACTACATGACAATAACAAAGAACAAACTGATACAGCCTGGATGAATTTTACAGACAATGTTGAATTAATAGGAGTCAGATACAAAACAAAAGACATACTATATCTATTTCTGTCTATTTGCAAGGTTTAACAATAGGTAAAATGAATCTCTGGTGATAGAAGTTGGGAGGGTGGTTAGTTCAGGGTTGTCACCGACTGCAGGAGGGCACAGAAAAGCCTCCTGGGGTGCTGGAAACGCTCCACATCTTGGTGTGGGCAGCAGCTGCATGGGAGGACTCAGTGTCAAAGTTCAAACACCTGAGACTTGTGTTCTGTACATCAGTTACACCCTAGAAAACAAAAACTAAACCAATCTACTCCTGCAAACAAACAAGCAACAAACACTACCAAGATTTAACCTACCCTAGAACATTAAGGTCTTATGAAGTTCCCTATCCTTGATAAATTTCTGATAGAACTGTGACCTCGCGAACTGTTCAGTGTTCCCACCTCACTAAACCTGAAATACTTTCCTATCGACCAGTACACTGGCCCAAGAAGATATGAAGGAAGTCTTCAAAACGTTTGTGGAAATTGTATATTATGGAAAAACTATGCGGGCTTCAATTTTTTTTTTCCACCAAAATAAATTCACATTTTAATTCCATTTTTACACAAACTTTTTTTTTTTTTTTTTTTTAAGATTTTGCCATGGGGCACGTGTGCTCATTGGAGAAAGAGAGTGGGAAAGTGAGAAATCATTCCCCAGGGAGGATGGCAATACCTCAATCCCTTCTCCTTCATTCTGCTTTCAGGATTTTGGGCATGATTTTTAAGACACCAGATCTGGGACTCAAACCACAGCGGGCCATGTGAGAACCCAGTGTCTTAACCACCAAACCACTTGCTGGGCCCCATTTTCCCACAAAATTTTTGAAGCTTCCTGGCTATTGATTCCAGTCTTCTATCCAGGTAGGGATGCCTGTGCCCATGGGAATCTATATTTTTTAAAGAGATTTTTTGCCATAGGGCGTTTTCGTTCACTGGAAAGAGAAACAGTGAGAACTCACCTCCTGGGCAGATGGGCATGCTACAATCCCTTCTCCAGTCTCCTCATGGGGTCTTGGGTGTGCACGCATGCACAGGTGCCTGGTGTGATTTTCAAGCCATTGGGTCTGGGACCTGAATTGCGTGTGGCCATATGGGAGTCCAGCAACATAACCGCTACACCACCTGCTGGCCCTGGGGTCTGTATTTTCTGAATCTGAATGGAGACTAGCAGACTGAGTACCGTGTGAGGTCACAGAGCAGACTCCTGGGATGAAGTGTGTCCTGGAGAACACAGTGTCCCCACCACAGCCCAGAGGAAGCCGGCTGCCTTTGACTTCACCCTCTTCATTCCATTAATGATTAGCCTCTGGTTTGACTGAATGAAGATTCAGGAGGGTGAAGATCGATTTCTAGTTAAGTCTTAGCGACAAAGATGTTGGGAATAGTTGAGTGAAAAAGGAAACTTTTTTTAAAAAATATAAATATGAAAGGTTAAGTACTCTTGCTTCCTGGTGTACCAAAGGGTGCCTCTTTTTTTGTGAGAAGGGCTGGATCTCCCTTATTTTTTAAATTAAAAGGCTATTTTTCCGTTTTCATGATTAGACACCACTTATAGAAAGGCAGTCCTGCCCAGCATTAAGTTAGGAGAAAATTATTTAATTAAAACTTAATTATTTATCTCCTAGCTATTGGGTCGTTGGGAGAGCCAGGACACATTTTTGCATTGAAAAACAGAGAGATACGTCATGACTTTCCCAATGACCTAATATTTTAGTTAGGAGAAACATTCCGTCAAGGAAAATACAGACTATCTGGAACTTGGCCCCACATAGACCCAATTGTTTTTTAAATCTATTTAGCAAAAAATATTTTAGGCCCAACTGCAAGGGTGAAGGCATTAAGGCACCAAGGCATGATATTGGAGCCACACAGGGACCCAGGTTCAGATCCTGGGTCAACCTGAACATGCTGGGTGATCATGGACCAGCTGGGAGGCATGGGGCAGCATCATAGCACAGTGAGACCCTGCCAGTCTTTAAATAAAGTAAGTCAACTTTTAATAATGCTGTAAAGATTTCTGAGAAAGCAGCCCGAACCACTGAAATAAGGGTGTGATATAAGCACAGAGCCCTGCGGCTGTTACCATAGTAACATCACTAGGCAGAGCCCAAATGCACCGTGCTGCTTCACCGTGCGCACGAAAATGTACCTGCCCGAGTGCTGGAAGGACAGCTGACGCCGTGTAAATAACCAGCAAGGAAGTAGGAAAAACAAAATGTAAGACGGCAAACAAGCGCTCAATGCCTATCTAAATGTTACCGGAATTTCTTAGCACAAAGGGTCACCATCAAATGGCATGGATAAGAGCCAGTAATACCCAGGCCCTATTTCCAAACTCATGGGAAAAGTGGGTTTATCGGGTACCCCTTTCAAATCTGGAACCATGAAACCCAATAGACAAGAAAAGCTTAGAAATTTTCATCTAGAAGACAAGTGCTTTGAGTCCCATTTGGGGTTTGATAGTCTGATCTTGGCATATTCTGCAAAATTTCTGAACTTCATAAAGATCCCTCACAGAAGTTCAAATAGAAACCTTTGAAAGTATATAGTATAATATCTTACATAAAATAGGAACTCAGTAAATGATGGCTATCATGACCATATTCACTCGGAAAGACTCTTCTTGGTGGGTGGTAATCTTGGAGAAAGTGGGTGCATACCAGTCTTATCTAAAACTTTTTTTAAAGAATTATTTTTTATTTAACTTTATTTATTTTAATTTGACTAGAGAGGGACATATTGAGAGAAAGAGAAAGTGAGAAAGTAAGCCACCAGGTCCAGGACTTGAACCGCAGTCAACCATGTGGGAGTCCAGTGCCTTTAACTACCATACCACCTGCTGGTCCCAGTCTTATCTACAATTTAAGAGGCAGGAGGGCTATCTTACAGTTAAGATCAGAGATCCATATTGACAGGCCCGGGCATGGATCTAGGGTCTTGAATAAGCTTATACTTCGTAACTTTAAATTTCTTTAAAGAGGGAAGCAAAATAATTTGTTCAGATCAGAAATACAAAGTTCACGAGAGTACTTAGGGCAAGCCACTGTGAGGAACAGCAAAAAGGGCCTCCAGGGACAAAGGAAAATGTGTCCAGTGGTGTCATTTGAGCCTTAGCACTCTAGACTAGACGCCTTGTTTTTGTTTTGTTTTGTTTTTTGTTTTTGTCATAGGGTACATGTGCTCACCAGAGAGAGAGAGAGAGGGAAAGTGAGAAACCACACCCCAGGAGGATGGTCATACTGCACTCTCTTCCCCTCCGTTTTCCTCTTGGGATTTTTTTTTTGGGGGGGGAAAGAGGTTTTTGCTATAGGGCACATGCGCTCACCAGAAAGACAGAGAGAGACAGAGAGACAGAAAGCAAGAAATCACCCCCCAGGGGGGACAGCCACGCCACAATCCCTTCTCCATTCTCCTCTTGGGATCTTGGGCACACACACACGCACGCCTGGCATGAGTTTAAGCCACCAGGTCCAGGACTCAAACCGTGGTTAACTACATGGGAATTCAGCAACATAGCCATTACGCCAACTGCTGTTCCCCCTCTTTGGATACACATGCACATGTGCTCAGTGTGTTTTTCAAGCTGCCAGTTCCAGGACTCAAACTTCAGAGGCAGCCATGTGGGATGGCCCCTAAGGATCAGATACCTTTGAACCCAATATTCAATTAGAGCCAGAGGTCCCTCTTACCCACTCACCCAGGAATTCCTCTCTGGATCCTGCCTAAGGAAATAAATACAGCAAAATAAATGCAGACTATAGAAATAATTTTGCATAATGCTCTCAAATTGGAGACAAGGCAGTAAAGAAATGGTAATAAATACACTGTGACTGTTGAATAATATTGAATATTAATTAGTATTGAATATTAATTAGGTACAAAAATGTAAATTCCTGAAGACTTCCTTATCCCGTGGGGAGATCCTTGTGTTAAAAGGTACAGTAGTGGAAAACAATTGGGACACAAAATGATGTAGAAGACATTTGAGTTTGCCAGGTAGCTCGAATGCCTTTTATATAAAAGGAAAACAATAAAACGGCAACAGTGATTATCTCTGGATTTAGAATTATGGTGATCATTTCTTCTTTCATAATTTATGTATCATTTTGTTTGTTTTTCAGAGGATGTCTAAAGGTATTAAGGCTAAGCGAGGCTGGAGACTGTGCTCTTTGTGGTTTCTGTCTGCCTGGTTCTGTGAGTTTCCTTGGCAGCATGGAAAGGCCTGGCTGCAGGACAGAGGAGTCTGGTGTAAAGTTGGGGTTTCAAGCAGGAAAGTGACGCATGAGGACCAAGGGAGGAAGGCATGGGTGCAGGAAGCCACCATGAGAATCAGGGCTAGGAAGGGCAGAGTGTTGGGAACCCTTGGAGAGGGTTGACTCTTGAGATTATGGAGCAGTCCAGCACAAGATCTCTGGAAGGTGAAAGAGCAGAACTTTGGGGCTAGGAGGTGGCATGGTGACTAAGGTGGCTGGAATCCACATGGCCGACTGTATGGACCCAGTGGCTTGAAAAACATGGCAGGTGCATGTGCACGTGTGCCCAAAATCCCAAGAGGAGAATGGAGGAGAAGGGATTGCAGCATGACCATCACCTTGAGGAATGCTTTCTCACTTTCTCTCTCTCTCTCTCTCTCTCTCTCTCTATCTCTCTTGCTTTCTCTGGTGAGTACATGTGCCCTATAGCAAAAAATAAAAAAATTTAAAAATGAAAGAAGGAAGAAAGGAAGGAAGGAAGGGAGGAGGGAAGAAAGGAAGAAAAAAAGAAAGGGAAAGAAAGAGCAGAACTTCAAGAAACGAAAGAAAAGATGGCATGACAAACAGTACGTGTCCTACAGGCTCACGCCTTCTAGGCAGGGTGGGCCAGGGTCCTGACAGGTCATGGTGGAGGTTCCTGGATTCATAAGTTCCTGTACCAGCACTGGGCTGACACCGCATAAGCAGCAATAATGCTCAAAACAGGGATAAACCCTGTCCTCCAGGAGACTGTGTTCTGGTGGGGGAATCTAACACGAAATGAAAAACACACCACCACAAAGTGAAATGTGAACTCTAAAGAAAGGAGGAGGTGCGTTAGAATACAGGTCCGGAAAACAGAAGGAAGGAGGTGATATTTTAGTCAAGGCTGATGAGAGTGAGCGTTAGCCATGTAACGGGCCGGGTAAGGTAAAGGGTTGCGGTGGAACACTCCAGCAAAGGCCAGAAGGAAGGAGAGCGTAGTGTGTCCGTGAACCTGTAAGATGTTCAGTGTGGCTTGAGCCGGGTGAGCAGAGGGCGGTATCGAAAGGAGGTCCAAGGGTATTGAAAGGGCAGGGGACAGGTGAGCACCTCTTAAAGGGTCTGGATTTCATCCTATCTGCAGGGAGGCAGGGAGCGTTCTGAAAGAGGGAGACGATATGGTCCAATCCCTATTTAGGGAAGGGGGTGGGGGGCAGTGGCTGGGACCTGGTTCTGCTAGGCATCAGCCTGTGCGGGACCTATCAGGGGGTTCCTTGTGGCCTTGGTAGAGAAGCAGCTCAGTGCAACTTCAGCCACCAACACCCCCCTGGGCAACAGACAGGAAGGATGACATCCTTTCTTCCTACCTGGTTCTTACTGGCCCTTGGCTCTATTCAGGTAGAGATGCCTGTGCCCACGGGGGCTGTGTTTTCTGAGCCCGAATGGAGACGAGCAGACTGAGTACCGTGTGAGGTCACAGAGCAGACTCCTGGGATGAAGGTGTCATGGGAACACAGTGTCTCCACCACGGCCTGGACGAAGCCGCCTTTGACTTCACCCTCTTCACCCCATTAATGATTAGCCTCTGGTTGTACTGAATGACGACTCAGGAGAGTGGAGACTGGTTTCTGTTGTAGTTCAGTCAGTCTTGGCAATGATGATGTTGGGAATAACTGAGTGAAAAAGAAAATATGATTTTTTAAAAAATGTAAATATCGAAAGTTTAAGTACTCTTGCTTCCTGGTATCCCAAAGGGTGCCTCTCTTCTGGGTGGAAAGAGTTGATTCACCCTTCTTTTTTAAAACTAAAAGGCTGTTTTCCACTTTCATGGTTAGACACTATCTCCAGAGGGGTAGCCTCTCTCTCTCAGAGTGCACATTGTGGGGGCTGGCAGGTAGTGTGGTGGTTAAGACACTGGACTCCCACAGGCCAACCTGGTTCAAGTCCCCAACCTGGCCACTTGAAAATCATGTCAGGTACCCATGCATGTGTGCCCAGAATCCTGGAGAAGACTGGAGGAGAAGTGACTGTGGCGTGGCCATCCCCCCCGATTGGTTTCCTCTCTCTGTCTCTCTCCAGTGAGCACACATGTCCTATGGCAAAAACTTAAAAGTGAAAACATGAAGAGTGCATGTGTGGGTCCTGAGCAGTCAGTGGTACTTGGGTACCTGCCACTTGGTTTCTGCGTGGCCTCGGAAGTGTACTTGCCCTTGCCCTGGGTCCCCTGCACACCGTGGAGACAATAGTGGTTCCTCACTGTAAAAATGGGGACAATAGATCTTAGTCCAGGGGCCTTGGGGACTGAACAATTTAAATAACTAGCTTAGAACAGTGCCTGGCATTTGATTAAAATGTGTTCCCAGAGGAGGAGCAAGATATTCAGAAGTAGTCCTATTTTTCTTCTGGTCTGTAAGGTCCTCCTTCACTGGAAGGGGGTGTCCAGAGATGGCCGAGAGATTTTTGGGAGCCCTAGGAAGCAACCAAACCCATGCTCTGGGCTTCTGCTCGTCAGTGCAGGCAGCAGCTACTCTGTGGAGGGGTCTGTATTTTCTTGGAATCCTTGGCAAACCCTTACTTGAACACTGGCCTTTTCCCAAGATGGCTTCCGGGGTTGGTCTCGAAGCATCTTTTTCTTTTTCTTTTTTTCAAAGGGTAACAGGTGGGTTCTCCTGTCTTCCTCCTACTTGGTCTTGAAGCTTCTTTAGCAGCCAGTTGGCCCAGCCCTGGATCCTGGAGTTTTCAACAAGTGACAGCCACTGTGTGGGAGAGGGGCAGTCTCCCCTTCCACCTTTTTTAAAGTGTGAAGGTGCTTGATATACTAAGCTGCAGATAAATGTCCTTGTCGCTAACCTATTCACAAGGTTCTTCACCACTTTCTATTTTCAGTGCTGACACCATGTTCTCAGCCTTAGCTAATCACCAAGAACCTTGGCGTTTGTCCTTCCGGAAACCTCCAGGAACTTCAAGAGCCACCCACACCACACACAAAGCCTGAAGGAGGCTGAAGATATTCTGGAAACAAAATTCTTAGGTAGAAAGGCAACTTATGGGGTCAGTAAATAGTAGGTACAACAAGGTGATTTTGAAGAGCAAAATGAAAGCAGAAAAAAAGAGCATGTAGACTTGCTTGTAGTTGTTCAGTTTAGCTTGAGGACTTTGAAAAAAAGCAAACTCTCTCTCTGTCCGGAGTCACCTGCCCATTGCAAATGCTGGTTAGTGATTTGGGGGGCTAAAGCCCGATTCACCATTTTTGTTTCTTTCTACAGGAAATGGAAAGCACTTATTCATCAAAGGGGCTTTTAAGTGTGAATCTCGCACCAAAGAGATTACATTTAAAAATTTAAAAGGACACTTCCTTTTGTATGTCCAATGGGATCGTCTTCCGCCTTCTCTGTTCTATTTGGGATTTTGCTCCCCTTCCCCTTTGTATGCCCGCTCCGCAGTGGACAGCTGTGCAAGCGTCTAGGGTCCCCGAGTCTGCGTCGCCATCAGATCCTCGGCTCTGCTGGGGCACCACGCAGGTCGGTCTTCCCGCCTCTCCTCAAGGACTCCCTGCCGGGAGTGCGGGCAGGTGGCGGGTGGGAGGAGCGTCCTGGCTGTGCCATCCCCACACCAAAGCTTCGCGCACGTTCTAGCTGTTAGCTGGCCGACCACCCAAGCCCACCATGTTGCCTCCGAAGGTCTCCCTCGATGGAACAGCCGGTCTTCAAAAGAAACAGGGAAACAAGAGAGAGAGAGAAAGCGCACGGCTGAGAAGCCATCGGCATCCCTTCTTCCCACACTTGCGGGTGTCACAACAATGATTCACCCCAAGACGGGGCGGCAGCTTCCCTAATTAGCCTGGAGACGCTCGGCCCCACACGATTATAAAAAACAACAAAAAAAAAACTTTTACTTTTATTCAAATACACACCTCCCTCTCACGGCGCCCACTCTCCTTCAACCGCGACCAGAGGCCGCAGCCCGCGAGGCCGACCCGGAGCAGCCCCAGGCCCGGCGCCGACGGGCAGCGAAGCCCCCAGGTGACCTGGTGCCCGAGTCCCCCTCCCGAAGGCGCGTAGGTGGCCTCCAGCCTCGCCCCCAGGCCCGTCGCGGGCCCACTCGCCCTCCGGTCGGGGGTCTCTGGCGCAGCAGGCGCGGGCTGGGGAGGGGTCCCGCGGGCGCCTCCCTCCCGCCTCGGTCCCCCGCGCGGCCGGCGCCTTCC